GCAGTCAGAGGCCAAGGGACCTTCCAGCAGGGGTTCGGCCTCATTCTGCAGCGCCGGGGCCTGGCTGTTCTGGGACCCAAGTCATGTTGTGACTGTCCGTTCTCAGGGTCCTGGCCCCGCCTCTAGCCAACACTGGGGTGGAGCGCGGGCAAGTTGGCATGACAAAGGCCTACCCACCTCAGACCCAGACCCTGGCCCGTCTTCTGGCGAAGTCTGGGAGCTGGCAGACCATCTTACAGGTCAAGGGTCACCTATGAGAAGAGGTCCTGCCCTGGCCGATTAGTTCAGTTGGTGAGAGTGTCACCCTGATACGCCAAGGTTGCAGGTTCGATCCCAGTCAGGGCACGAGAATCAACTGATGAGTGCGTAAACGAGTGGAACAACAAATCTCTCTCTCTCTCTCTCAAATCAATAAATAAAAAGTGTAGCCCTAACCGTCTCTCTCATCGATGTTTCTGGCTCTCTATCTCTCTCCCTTCCTCTCTGTAAAAAATCAATAAAATATATTTAAAAAAAAAAATAAAAATAAATAAATAAAAAGTGTAAAGAAAGAAGAAGCAGTCCTGTGGTTGTGTGTGCTCGCTGCCTTCCTGCCTCTCTTTCCTGGACAGTGTCTGTGCCCCGGGTGTCCCTAGACGCACACCTGGAGACAAAGGTGCAGGTGCCTGTCGTCACTGAAGGAGGTGAGGCCAGGAAGCAGCAGCAGAGACTCGGCCAGGAGAGGGGAAGCAGCTGGGAAAGGTGTGTCATTGAGCAGGACAGCACCGGGGACCCAATCCCGCCGGGCCCGTGTGGGACATGGGCCTCCCGTTACGCCCCAGAGTGTGGGCAGAGCCTTGTCCGTGAGCAAAGCGCCCGCAGCCACTCGCAGAGGCTGGCGGCTGGAGAACCTGCCCGGAAACGGTGGTCCAGGTCAGCGGCAGATCCTGGCCAGGCTGCTGTGCTTCCACTCCACTGGGCCCCGACTCGCTCACCACTTAGGGAACTCTGTCCCCTTCCTCCTCGGGTGGCTCACGCTGCCCTACAGCCCCCCGCACAGCGCCCGCTATTCCCTCTCCAGGCCCCTTCCCCTCTCCTTTCCCGCAATGAAGCACTGGAAAGCCTCCCATCTTTAGAGACCTCCCAGCACCCCAAGTCCCTCCAGCCTCTCCTTCCTCCCTCCAGTCAAACTCCCGAAGCCATCTGTTCTCACGGCCCCGCCACCTCGGTATCTGCCCCTCATGTCTGCTGCCACGGCTCCCCCAGAACGGCTCTTGCCACAGTCACCATGGAACACCCTGCAGCTAAAACTTCAGGGGCCTTTGTCTCAGCCGAAGTGTCCTGGGATCCTGGCGACTCCGGCTTCCGCCGGCTGCTGTGCTGCCTCTCTCCCCTTCATCCCCAGGAAGCGGCCCCCCAACATCCGCCCTGGCCTTTCTCCTCTGCACACAGGCCGCCTCGGGCTGGGTCCCTCCCGGGCCACTGGCCTCACTCGCACCCAGATCTCCACCAGGTGCCTCTGCTCAGGTGGACAGGGCCTGGGGCCATCGCTCAGGGCCACGGAAGATGCCGGACGCAGAGCCGGGTGGACTCGGGGATGACCCTCATCCCCTCCGATCCCAGGTGCGCCTCCGGGGTTGGTGCCCGCCGAGTCCAGCTCAGGCCAGACTTGGCTCTGATGGCAGCTCCCCGAGGTCCGTCTGGGACAGACCGGCACCCAGAGGCCGGGACCAGCCTCCTGGCGTCTCAGAGCCCTCGCCCCGGCCCCTCCTCTCCGCCCGG